TAATGTGTGAACAAAGAAAAGTTCTATATTTATTTAGGTAATCATAGAGTAGTTAGGCATCCTAAGCAGCTTCCCCTAGGTCAGGGATGTAATTTGTACTCTTTGCCACTAACTTGGAACAGGGAAGTGATCTTTGTTACATTTTACTTAATCTGAAAAATATTATTATAATTTTGACAGGAAGATAAAGAAGTATAAAAATGAGGCAAGTGACTAAATTGAGGGATGATGTTATAACTTTTCAATACATAGGTATAAAAACCCAGTTTGAAGTTTCATGTAATTATCTTGTCTTATCCTTTGGTAATATTTGAATGAAAAGTGACTAACATGATTTTTGATAGTTACAATATGCATGTCCTAAAACTATACATGACTTCTTGGGAGAGAAAGTTTGAATCTTATAATAGCACACTTTAGGGACAGTGCAGACAGTTGATTTTACTATAATTATATTCCATCAAATATTTTTAAGATAATTCCTTGGAAATATTTTTATATAAGAATTTCTTGTAATAGGGTCTTAATACTGTAAAATTCAAAAAACCTTTTTAAGGTTTTATAATTACTTTTACTAAGGGTGTGCTTAACTAAATGTTATAATAACACTACTGTGGGATGCTATGGAATAGTTAAAAATAACTGGACTGACATGGAAAGATCTCCAAGATAACGCTGTTCAATGAAAAACAGCAAATTGCAGAACTTGACGCTCCGCTTGATGTTAAAAACTCACTTTGTGTTTGAAAATATATAGTAAAATGTCTGGAAGGATAAATAGCAAACCACTATCAATGATTACCTTGGAGGACAGTCAAAGGGAAACTAAAAAATTCTACATATTACCTTTTTTTTTGGTTGTAGATATTACAGTAAAATTTTGACATTTTCATTGTACTTGAAAAATGTAAAGGTCATATTACCAAGAACTCAGTGTGTTTGGGGGTATTTTTTAGTCGTATATACAATATTGTTAGATAATATTTAAACTCTTATCCCAAATGGATATCTAAAATGAAGCTCTACTTATATTAGAGAGCCTACTTATATTAGTAGACTCTAACCTGTCTAATTATGTGGACCTCAGTGTATATTGAGTACATTATTGACCCCTTAGTCGGCTAGACGTGTGCTGTTGTACTTCTGATTGTTTTTCCAGTAAAAGCAAGAGAATTGCTCTGGGCCAAGGATGTGTACCATTGTGCCAGCCTGGTTTAGCTGAGAGGTGCTTTGAAAAGGGTAAGGGAAGTCAGGATGCTTCTAGCTCCAGTTTTGCTGCCTCCATTTACCAACTTAAAGTGTGTTGGGAATAAAGCTCAAAGGACAATTATAAAATAGGCATGACTTTTATTTTATAATAAAACTACATCCTTTGGTTCATAGGTAAGGTCTCTGCAAGCTTGGCAGCAGACCGTGGACCAGCGTCTAAGTTCCTGGCATACCGATGCTCCTCCTGTATCAACTACTCTGGTGCCATCTGAACCTCCATTATTCCCCCACAGCCAGGAGCCCTCTTCTGATCAAAATTTGGACTGGTTTGTTGCTCCTGATGAAGCTCCTCAAAAGAAATCCTTACCGGAATTTCCAGACTCTGGTTTTCATTCCTCCCTAGCAGAAGAAGTTCACTGTTTGCAGGATTCTTTGGATTTTGAAAAAAGTTCCCGAGAAAGCACTGAAAGTTCGATAATAGGGAATTCTACTGACACAGTCAGGCATCGCAGAAAGTCAGGAATAGCGGACGTTAGCGAAGAACATGGTGAGTGGAGTAAGGAAAGCTCAAGCAGTGAGCAGGATAATAATCTGCTTGAACAGTATTTAACTTCAGTTCAACAGCTGGAAGACTCAGAGGAGAGGACAAATTTTGCTGAAGGGGCAGGAGATAGTACGCTTCACATAGCTCAATCCCCTGAAAAGTTAGATGCCTTGTCTGACAATGCTTCTGTAGATGGTACTCATGTCATATCTCCTGCTTTGCAAGATGAAACCAGCCAGACACCAGAGGATCGTAAATTAAATGCGGAAGTTGAAGGGCAGCAGTCAGAGTGTGATTCTGCATTTCAGGTATTGCATGTTGGTATTACTGTATAGCATGCCTGGGTGCTTTGGAAGCAGAATCCACTTAATTTTTCTTAGGAATATTTTCAGTTGCTTTTCTTTCTTTCTTTTTTTTTTTTTGAAGGGGAGTTTGAATATACCCTCACTTTTGTTATTATTTATATAGAATGTATATTCTTGTCTCATATTTTCCATATTCTAGATACTGAAGTCAATCTTCATATCGACTGGGTTAGCCTTTTTTACTTAGCTGTAATGTATCAAGCAATATTTATATTGGAAGCTATAGGCACTTTATTTCTTAACTGATTGCATCAGTAGTGTTTCTGCTTTTTTATGTATTCATTTGCTTTCAAAAATATATTAGAATATCTTAAATAAGATAGAAAAATTTACCTTAAAGATATAAATAAGAGAATTTGACTCCTCTGTGTGAGGAAATTGTGTGGTTAAGAATGCAGTTAGTTAAAATAAAGGTAAACAACATATGTGAGGATTGTGAAGTATTGAAATTTGCCAGCCTGCTTCGGGGAAGACCTTGTGTTTTAAGCCTTTTTTCCTCCCTTATGAGTCAAGGAAAACTTTTTTATAGACAAATAGGGGAAGAAGGTAAGATTATAGAATTTTTCAGTAGGGATGATTAAATTGTCTCATGGAAAACTTTAGTGTATATCATGTATCAGTTTTAACATATGAAGCCAAATGTTCCACCATAATTAAAATCAAGCTTATTTAAAGAGGCAATATAAGAATATTTCTCTCAGATAATGAAGAAAGCAAATACACTAGGCTTTATTCATTTGGAAAAATGTCATGACAAACATTTGTTATCTTTTCATTCAGTCCTTTTTTTTTACCTCACAGATAAGCATGTGTGTGCCAATATATTGCCAGAAATTCATGTCTGTTCATCTTGTATACTGCTTTATATTTGCATTTGTATTTCAGCAGAAGATCTGTGTCATTTAGTTCATGTTTGATTTCTGTGTCTTAATGAAGAACATTTAAAATGATACTAGTGGTAGAATATGGTGACTTTTTTTTAAGAACTATTTTCTATCTAAATCTCTGAAAAAGGTGCCACATTTGCAAGCCAGTTTAACAGTGAATAAAAAGAAATAAACCTCACTTATTTTTACTTGTTAAAAAGAATATATATCTGTAACTCTGGGAAGAAGTGATAATATTGTGTTTGAATATTACAAGTACATGTATATGCAAATCAAGGATGATTTTTTGGAAGCTTGGTATTTTAATCTTTGAGAATGTTCTAATACAATTAAACAGTTCATATCTGATTTTCCCCAATCTGTGGACATACAACTATTTGAAATGAAGGCAATACTTATTCTCTAAATTTAGGTGCTAGATACCTATTTATTCTGTGGCAGTCGTAGGTCCCCTTCTTTAAAGTTACATATAATAAAAACTTCTGATCCTTCAAGAATAAGTTCAGGGATCACATGTTATTCTTTGCTGATAGTTAGAAACATTTCTCCAGTATGGGTTAGATGTATTTTTCTCGGTTTGTACATATGTAGCACTCAGGTTAAGAAGACTTGAATTTCATTCTCAGAAATCCAAAATCTCTTGAAAAGGAATTATTTTCTATCTCTTATAAACTGAACAGCAGTCTTATGTTCAAAAGTATTTTTCCTAGTGAAGCTTGTGTAATGTTGAAAGCATGTTAAATAAAAATAGAATTTTTTGCTTTTTGAATAATGCTAATTATCTTTTATGAATGATTTTTAATTTCTTCTTAAATAGTCCCTATTTTTCTATTTTACAGTTAAGTGCCTCATTGCTGCCCATTGTTAGACAAAGAAAAATCAAATTGCACTGCACTGGTTCCAAAAATGCTGCTTCATGATTCATTAATTTCTCAATACAGCTCCTGAAATGTCCTGGTTTAGTATTGCTTAAGTAGGTTAAGGTTACTGCCGACATCTTGTCCCTCTTCTCTTTTTTTAAGAAATGGCAAAACACAGCTATAGTCATTTGAGCATGAGCATTTGTCAGTAAGATTTCCTTTTTTACCTTTCCTTTGTTTTTCTAGCATATAAATAGTATTTAGCATACTTTTATTTGAAAATTGACAGACTAGCCCAGCCAGTGTTCTCAGTGGTTGAGCATGGGCCTATGAACCAAGAGGTCACTGTGCGATTCCCAGTCAGGACACATGCCTGGGGTGCAGGCTCGATCCCTAGAAGGGGGTACACGGGAGGCAGCGAATCAATGATCTCTCTCATTGAAGTTTCTATCTCTCTCCCTCTCTTCTCTGAAATCAATAAAAATATATTTAAAATTGATATCATATGTGACTAATATCCTGCTCTTCATTATATTTAACTCCTCCTATTTAACCACAAGGGGGCAATTCAAGAATGAGTTATTAACAGTGAATTTTTTGCATTTCTCATGGTTCTAGGGGCCTCATATACAGTATGTAAATATATTTTGTGACATATTTATGCATTTCAATTCTCTATTATGTTTTGAAACTTTGCTATTTTTTCATATCACTTCATATTATTATTTTTTTAAACAACTTCTTAGTGATTTCTTCCTCAGTACTTCAACTGTCCTTTTTGTTCTTTTATTTTTCTCTTTCATGGAAGCCATGTTCTTTAGAAGCTAGTTTAGACCAAGTTAATGGCCTTTTAGGCTTCCTCCACGTGAATAGGAGTTCACTTTGTGAATAATAAGAATTATGTGTCATGGGGCGGGGTGGGTGAGCATCAGGATTTTAGAGATGCTTAGGTGTGTGTTGTCGGGAGGGGGGCACGGAGGAATGGCCAAAAAAAGGTTGGGAACCACTGATTTCACTTTACTAGTGTTTTGAAGTGCAAGAATATTAAGTAGCCCCCTACATTAACTTTACAGATTATCTTGAATGTAGATAGAATGAAAATAATGTAAATTAGAAAACTGGCATAGAGTTAATATATTTTAAATATTTAATAGGCTTACAATGTAATTTAAAATTATTTATTTAACTAAAATATTTGGTTTTTAATTCTATGGGCTGTTCATTGGTCTGACTAGAGAGGGAATGGGTCTAATAGAGTTTGGGAAGTTGACCTTTAACACGGTCTTTGTGTTTTTTCTTACAGGAGAAATTTAATTCAGCTGTGTTATTTTAGTTCCTATTAGTTCTCTTGATTTATGGAAAAGTCAATGCATTAAGTAGATACCTCTGCAGAAGCACAAAATCATACCATGTGAGAATTGGAAGGAACCTTAGAGATTATTCATCCTAATGTCTTTGGTAAAGATGAAATTAAGGCACAGAGAGGTTAAATAACTTGTGTGATGTTATAGCTAGTTAGTAGTAAATAAACTGAAAACTTAAAAATTGTGTTCCAAAGTTTATTATACACTATTAATCTTGATATTTAGTGAGTCAGTAAGAAAATCTCATGTATTTTCCATTCTCTTTGAAAGAGAACAAAAATTTCTGAGAGCTAGAACTCTACCCCTCAAGACAAGGTTTTTTTTTTAAAAAAAAAAAAAACCCACACATTTCATTCAGAACTCTGAGTGAATTTTCTCTAAGAAATTTAATTTGGTTAAAATGGTTTTTAAAGAGCAATAGTAGAAACAAAACGTTTTAAAGAATAGCTGAATCTTGGAGTCCATTTATTTGATGACAAGTATAACAAGTTTCTGAGACATATAAAATTTTCCAGTGAAATGCTGAGTTTGATTATATTTTGTCTTCAGTTTTATAGAACAACAGATGCTAAAGTTTTAACTCTCCTGGTGTGCAGAAAGCTCCAATTATAATAGTTGATCCATATCTCTTATAATAAAAGCATAATATGCTAATTAGACCAGATGTCCTTCTGGACATCCTTCTGGACAACCTTCCAGATGAAGCCAGGGCTGCAAGGGAAACTGGGGTCCTGGAGGGAAGCCAGGGTCCCGGGTGCAAGAGGAAAGCCAGTGCCAGCAGCCAGGGGAAGGAAGGCCTACACTTGCATGAATTTTGTGCATCAGGCCTCGAGTATGATATAATTTGGTTTTATAAGTTTAAGGCTCAGATGTTCATGTTTTAGGAAAACCTCATAATTATTTGTATAGAGGCAAATAATTATATTTTTGAATAATGAGGATTCCTTCTTTGAGTGTAGATTTTTCTTTTGTTTTGGATTATTTTAAATATACAAACACCATAATAGTGTATTTTTTGGTTTTCCCCTTAAGACAAGTCTAGTTCCATTTTTATAAATATATTTAAAAACAATGTGGACGTAAAAATTATACTATCTCCTTTGCTGCCTTTTTTGATGCAAATTCTTAGAATTGGATTTATAACAATAACATGACTTTTTTTTTCTGGAGATTTAAGACCTAGTAAAAAGTGAAGACATAAAATGTGTCTGATCAAGCCGAAACCGGTTTGGCTCAGTGAATAGAGCGTCGGCCTGGGGACTGAGGGGTCCCGGGTTCGATTCCGGACACGGGCATGTGCCTGGGTTGCGGGCACATCCCCAGTGGGGGATGTGCAGGAGGCAGCTGATCGATGTTTCTCTCTCCTCAATGTTTCTAACTCCCTCTCTCTTCCTTCCTCTCTGTAAAAAATCAATAAAAATATATTTTAAAAAAATGTGTCTGATCAATTTTCTGTTCATAAATTATATAAAAAGATTTTATTGTTTAATGTATATTTTTATTTTGCCATGCACTTTATTAAGAGGTATCTATTATATTGTAATGTTTTAACTTTTAAATATATATATGATCCCTCTCATTCATGAAGTAAAGCAGAGTCTAAAGAACATTGTAAACATTTTTAGTGATACTGCTTTTGCTGATCAAATCTATTGTGCCATATTAAAATTAAAAGTCAAATAAACAGCCCAGCCAGCGTGGCTCAGTGATTGATCATCGACTTCTGAACCAGGAGATCACAGTTCAATTTCTGGTCAGGCACATGCCCAGGTTGCAGGCTCGATCCTCAGTGTAGGGCATGCAGGAGGTATCCAATCAATGATCCTCATCATTGATGTTTCCATCTCTCGCACTCTCCCTTCCTCTCTGAAATCAATCAAAAGATAGATGATAGATAAATAGATAGATGATAGATTTTTATTTTAAGTCAAGTAAAGTAGACCTCAGTCTGGATAGAAATAATTGTCTTTTTTAAATGAGGTGATTTATTTGTGAATAGAAATCATACTAAATTTTAATTTCTTAATTCATTTTAGTGAATAGCTAGCAGGATTACCTCTGCAGTAGCTGTGTTCATTTTCTAATTAAATTTATTTGAGTGTTTTGTAATTTAATGTTGAAAATAATAATTTAAAAATACTTGGATTTTGGACTCTTTAGGTTTTAATTTTGTTGTAGAAATAGTAGATGAGTTGAAGGGGTTTGGTCTGTTTTTATGAAGGCTTCATATATTGTACTTATTTAATTTGTATTTGAGTCTCTAATTCTAAATAAAAAATTTGTACATTTGTTTGAGTGATTACCTGTTTATTATAATTAGTAATGGTTGTTATTCATTGTGCTTATAATTAATGAGCAATTAAAAATCAGAGCAAACTACAGAGAAGTCTACCAAAGAGAGTTCTGAGTAATGTTGTCGTGTAAGTGAATTTACAATAAAATAGTCCTACCCGTAAGAAAATGGATAATGGCCGAAACTGGTTTGGCTCAGTGGATAGAGCGTTGGCTTGCGGACTGAAAGGTCCCAGGTTCGATTCCGGTCAAGGGCATGTACCTGAGTTGCGGGCACATCCCCAGTAGGAGATGTGCAGGAGGCAGCTGATCGCTGTTTCTCTCTCATCGCTGTTTCTAACTCTCTATCTCTCTCCCTTCCTCTCTGTAAAAAATCAATAAAAATATATTTTAAAAAAAAGAAAATGGATAATGGATGTGGAATGGAAGGAATGCTCATTTACTTTCATTTGGTATCGATTTAATTACTTTTAGGATAGTTACTGGAATACTCTGGGTAGAGAAGAGCAGATGTGATCCCTCCAAGAGCACAGGTGACACTAGGATGCTGTTGAAACAGTAGATGCTAAAAGTATTAGGGGTAAGTGAATAAGTTGGGTAAAAGCCCTCTTATTTTACACAATTAGGACCTGTAGTTTGTTCCTGTTATGGACTGATTGTATTCCCTGCCAAATTCATATCTTGAAGCTCTAACCCCCAATGGAACTATTTGGAGAGAAGGGCTTGAAGGAGGTAATGAAGGTTAAAAGAGGTCATAAGTGTGGGAACCTAACCCCGTATTTCTCATGTTTCTATAAGAAAATGAAGAGATACAAGCAATTTTTTCCTCCATGCACACCTAGAGAAAAGGTCACTGGAGGATACAGTGGGAAAAAAACCTACCCATCTGTAGGCCCATGTACAAAGTTCTCACCAGAAACCAACCTTGCTATTACCTTGATCTTGGTCTTCCAGCTTCCAGAAATATGAGAAAATACATTTCTGTTTTAGCCACTCAATCGGTGGTGTTTTGTTATGGCAGCCTGAGCAGACTAATATAGTTGTTGAGCAAATAATTAGAGTAGAAAATCACAAGAAAATGACATATCTAACCTTAAATTTTAACAAAATTTTTAATGAAATATAATTGATACATTGTGAACTGCACTTACTTGAAGTGGACAATTTAGCCCGGCCAGCGTGACTCAGTGGTTGAGTATCGACCTATGAACCAGGAGGTCACGGTTCTATCCTTGGCCAGGTCACATGCCCGGGTTGTGAGCTCAATCCCCAATATGGGCATGCAGGAGGCAGCTAATCAATAATTCTAATCATTGATGTTTCTCTCTCCGTCTCCCTTCCTCTCTGAAATCAATAAAAATATTTTTAAAAAATGAAGTGGACAGTTTGATAAAGTCTGACACATACACAGTCATCTGCTGCATAATGACATTTTGGTCAACAATGGACTGCATGCATATACAACAGGGGTCCCATCCTATATAATAAAGGGTAATATGCAAATTGACCCTAAGGGTGGAACAACTGGAAATGACCAGTTGCTATGATGCACACTGACCACCAGGGGGCAGACACTCAACACAGGAGCTGCCCCCTGGTGGTCAGTGTGCTTCCATAGGGGGAGTGCTGCTCAGCCAGAAGCCGGCTCATGGCTGGCTAGTGCAGTGG